ATAGGGGACGCGCACGGCTGGGTATAGGGGACGCGCTCGGCTGGGTATAGGGGACGCGCTCGGCTTGGTTTAGGGGACTCGCTCGGTTGGGTATAGGGGACGCGCTCGGCTGGGTATCAGATTTGGACTCCAGTAGCATGGCACGCGTTTCCAGTACTGTATTCCTCTGGTTAGGTGTTAATGCACAGTTTAAACAGCAGTTTAATAAATATCAGTATACAACACAAATTGTTAAATTGATTGATTTTATTGCTTGGAATATCTCTAAGAAATATGTGGTCACTGTTTTGGATAGACCATACATTTTTCATTGTTCATTCTTTGCAAGGGGGATATTTTAAAACATCCAGTTTCAAATTGCTCAAGAACTTTCAAAATATTACCAACAAATAGTTTTAGGAACAAATTGACTTCTCTTATCTATTTCTAGTTAGTCAGCTAGTGCTATATTTATTCTGCCTTTCATGCTTCTGCATTATTTATTATTGTTTACATACATAATGCACAATGTATATAAACATTTGTGTCCAGCTCCGCTGTTTGGCACTGTTGTGTGTTTTTGCACATTTAGAGGTTGTGAAAACCTTCTCTTTGCATAAGATCTCTTTATGTTGTAAAATGGTCCTAGGGGAACGATAATTCACGCCACTGTACACTCTCAGAAAAAAAAGGTAAAAATTCGTACCTGTGCTTGTCATTAGGGCTGCACCCTCAAGGTTCTGCAAATTGCACCCTTAGCTGTAGGCAATTGCACCTTTTAAGGTTCAGAAATGAACTTTTGGGATTTCTCAGTGTCCATTTCTGTACCATAAAAAGTACAATTACAAGGGTACAGCCCCAGGGACATGCAAAGATACAAATTTTCGCCCTTTTTTATGAGAGTGTACGGTATAACACAGCCCATCTGACTTGACGTGACGTTATTTATATATGCACCAATGTATGCTCCATCACTCGATAATTCCATTATGTCTTGGCTGTTTTTGGAGGGTTTACACGCACACATTAGCACGGATGACTTCATCATTGCAGGTCATATATATCTCCGCACCACGCGACCGGATTATAGATACTCTTGAGTGCTGACACATGGCCGTGGGACTGTGGCAGATGAGTAAGATGGGGAAGTGTGCTGAGGCCCAACTGGGGGGCCTCCCTTAATCAGGTACCCAAGCATAAAATTAGCCCCATATGTCATGGGCGGCATGTGGCTCGGATAAGGGAGATATGTAAACGTGATGCTCATAAATAAACCTCTAAAACATCCTGGCTTAAATGTCCGTAGTCCTCAAAACAGCATAAAAGACTCCAGATCATCTGTATTTAACTTGTGCAGACAATGTCTGTTCATAGGTCAGAGAAAATCTGAAGGAGAAAAGGGCTGCTAGACATTCTGCTTTGTGTCTTGTTTGCCATGCATAATACAAAAAGAATTTTAATATTTTGAGATCATAATACTTATAGTGTGCTTGTAGTACAGGAGATTCTGCAAATAGATAGATAGATAGTGTGCAGTACTACAACCCAGTGAGATGGGCCTCCTTTAAGGTCGATTGAACCTGTCACAATGCATTGATTTGTAACATTCGATTTGGTCTCAGAGAAGCCTGCAGTTTCAGTGGGTGTGTGACGGGCTTAGTGCTGCTGTTGTAGCTTGAAGGACTATTAATGCGGAAATGGGCCACACTGTGCTTCATGGGGCAAAAATACTTAGTAACAAAATTACTGCTGAAGTACACATTATGAACAAATAAAGATGCATCATGATTCATTAATGATGAACAAATATGAGAAATATTTAACTTATTTATGACTTCCTTCGGTAGTTTCTTCAGTAGTTCACAAAGGTTTACAGAATTAATAAATACAACAACAAATGTAGTAATTGCTTGATATAAAAGATGCCTCACGATTCATTCATGATGAATTAACATGGGATCAGTATGTAACCAAAACTGAGTTTGTGGTTAATTAATACATAAGTAATAGTATAAGATTACATTATATTATTTTGTGCCCCGTAAAGTAAAGTGTTACCCTGAAAATTTTCAGTAGTTTTATAAGACGGTATGGGAATAATAAAAAGCAACAATCATATATATTTTTTTTATGTTTTAATGTTTTTTAATTGTATAACCAAGTACAAAACTTGCATACTTAACAAATCACATCAAGGACTACGCAATAAGCCTGCTGTTTTAGTTAAACGCGGTAATCAGCTCCATATGGATAGACCGCCACTTCCCGTAAAATATTTCCCGATGTCTCAGTTTACTTCCTCAAAACTTGAGGTATATATGGAAGGATCACTCTGACCCCGATTCACAGAAGCAAAGCATTCCTCTCTATTCCACAGAAGCTGTACCAAAACTGGAAAGGTAAGCATTTTTCTGTTTCATTCATTTTCATGCTCGGTCTGCATTTTATAGAGGTACCTGCAGTACAGTACATGGTTTATTCTTGCGAATTTTTTTTTTTTATTGCTGTGTACTAGGTTGCAATATTAATAAATTACAAATAGTAGAGATGTGAATTAAAGACATTACTATAACTGGATAATTGGTCGAAAGAAGCCTACTTCTTTAAAATCCATTCAGGAGTAAAAGGATGAACACTCAATGTATCGTTAACATGTAAGCGGCCGTTATTCATATCATACCGTACTTTACAAGAAAATCGTTCTGTAAATCGAACCGTCAGAGGAGCGCTTTAGCTTCTGGTTATAAGTGTCTTTGTAGAAACTCGAGGAGGGTATTGAAAATCTAATAGAAGAACGAGTTTTATTACACTTGCTGGTGTAGGAGCGCATTAAATAAACTATGCGTTGCGTTTTAACTTTACAAAAAAAGATTATTAACAAATTATTATGGATTATTAACAAAGTATGTTAAAGCTTTTCACTCAGAAAGCCAGGTGCATTTTTTTGTGCTTGATGAACAAAATGTGTACTAGTTACCACGTGACACGTGTCCATGCCTTGTGTGGTTTTTTCCCAGCATGCTGCTGTGTGTAAATGTATTTCTCCTGCTGCTGCTGGTCTCTGCACTGGCCGCCTCCTCTGAGGAGCTGTCTATGGATGCACAGTGGCAGAACTGGAAGGTCATGCACCGGAAAGAGTACAATGGCCTGGTAGGTATGCTCTTTCTAAATGGACCCATCTCTGTGAACCAAATAGGCTTCAGTTCTTTAAGAAAAGTTTGTTTCCCTTCTATGTCGAGCTGAATAAGGTATGTCAGTAAGTATATGTAACAGTTACATTTCAGGTACAGAAAGGTGCCATTGTAGGGTCACAATTCAGCTTACATCTCTCTCATAACCTGCAGCAAGATGGGATATGCAAAGACATGCCTTCCAATGTGCCTGCACTTGTGCAAATGACATAAAATACCTTTTCATTTGTTGTCTCAGTGTAATATCTAGTGAGTTATGGTACGAATAGCAGGTGGCACACTGTCTTGTAACCCGCCAGGACGAGGAGCCAATCCGAAGGGCTATCTGGGAGAAGAACTTACAGCTGATCAACACCCACAACAAGGAATATGAGCTGGGCATGCACTCCTACGAACTGGGCATGAACCACTTCGGCGACATGGTAAAGAGATGTCCTTTGCTGTACTCACTGCATTTAATTTCTAGCCAGTTCTGATAGCCGTCAGCTCTATGAAATGCTCTTTACAGTCATCCAATAAGACCTATGCTTACTCAGCTAAATCTGTAGGTCAAGCCAAGTATGTCTCGCTGCAACCTATAGGAAGGCGAGGTTGGATGTCCAACCCAGTCCAGATCCAAGCTGGCCTATCGTACACCACCTCACAAATCTGGCATTCATGCCATCCATTCAAGAAGTACTTTGCTATGCTTGATTTATGCATATCACACTTACATTCTCAAGAAGCACTTTGCCATTTGTCATTGTGTGAACATCATAGAGTGTACCTTATCTGTTACACGGCATATTGTTTTACAGTAAACCTTTTCCTTTTTAATAAGGACAAAGTACACTATAGAATTACAATGAAAAGTACATAAACCAGTAACATAGTTGTTTTTTATTATTATTACTTTATTATGGTTTATCATTATTATCAAGTACAGTATTATTATAAATTATTATTAATCTTTGATAAAATTATCAAAATCTTATAGGTCCACCATCTCATATGCAGCCCGTCATTGACTGAAAGGTCATTATGTGGTGCATGACCGGTCACACAGTACTCATCAGGACTGTATTTAAATGTTTTAAGACTGTCTACAGTACCTTTTCTGTTTGTTTGTTTTCTGTCACCTATATGATGACCAGGATTCACTCAGATATCACTATAATTCTTCTGTTCTGCGACTTTGCTTGGGCTCACACTTCTGCTGGATGATGTGTAATATGTAGATGTGGCTTTTCACTTTACGATAGAGCTGCCCTCCTGCAGGACGCAGCCAGACGCTTCTCTGTTAAGCTGTTTCAGTGTCTTGAAGATTTTTTTTTATCAATATGGTTCAGACTGCGGCTTGGAGGTCATCCCATTGATCAAGAACATTTTACTAATTACTTAATGTGTTGTTTGCATCTTAAAGTAACTAGTGATTTGCAAATAACAGTGCCTCTTATTTCATGTGTATACTTTGAGCACAGCTTTGAATAAGAAAAAAGGCATTTTTACCACAACTAAGGTGCTATTGTTGAGGGTCATGCTGTTAGTATTCTGGGGAGCATTTTAGCTGTGTAGAGCTGACAGGACCAGCCACAATGCCTTACTGTCTCCTGGTGCTCCTCTCAGACCCCTGAAGAAGTGACAGAGAAGATGACAGGCCTGTTGGTCCCACCTGTCAGGAACAGCAACAACACTTTTACCCCTGACACTGACCTGAGAAAGCTGCCGAAAGCCATCGATTACCGCAAGCTTGGTTACGTCACTTCAGTCAAGGACCAGGTCAGGCACTGAAGTAGCATCGATACATTTGTTAGCATTACGCTTCTGTGTATGTGAGTGTGTCTGACAATAACTTAAAAACATACATTTTCTGAGCTGTGTTTTCTCTGAAACGCTTGTGTATTGGTGTTCATATATCAAAATGTTTCAATAACCAAGTATAGTACTAATAAGTTAAATGCTTGTGCATTGGCTTTGATATATTAAAATGTCTCAGTAACCAAGTATAGTAATAAGTACTACAAAAGCATAAGTATATTTATTTTGCGTAATTGTCAAAATCCCAGTCAATGTAAGTAGTCTTTAATATGATCCAAATACGAACACCATCTGTCCTTCACTGAGAGAGGAAGAGATTGTTTCCAGATGCAGGGCATTTAATCTAAATTACTGATACATCATTGTAGTTTGGTTTTAATTGGCTGCACCAGTAAGAGTAGTTGATTGACAAAGATAAATGATTTGTTTTGCTATTGTAATATTTAAAATATTTATTTAAGATGGTGTATATTCTCACAATTAACATTTGTTTGTTCAAAACATTACGATCAATTAGTAACATTTAAAAATATTTTTACAACCCTTTTTCATAAACTATACCAGAAAAAAAAAAGATTCTTACATGCAAGCCTGCCCCTTGGTGGACAAAGGTGTGTGGTGCATGCTGATGCTGGATTTAATTCCCCTAATCCAGGGCTCTTGCGGCTCCTGCTGGGCCTTCAGCACAGCCGGAGCTCTTGAGGGTCAGCTTATGAAGACGACAGGGCAGCTTGTCTCTCTCAGCCCCCAAAACCTGGTGGATTGTGTGACTGAGAACAGCGGCTGTGGAGGAGGCTACATGACCAATGCATTTGAATACATCAAGGAGAACCAAGGCATTGAGTCTGAGGAAGCTTATCCTTATGTGGGACAGGTAGGGTTCGAAGTCATGGGTCCAGATGATAATTAATTTTTATTATTGACTTTATAAACACAGAACCAAGCTCTTCTACAGTATGACAACAAAAACTAAACATATATATGCACATAAATATGGAGGGCATCGCCCCATAGATAACTACAGAACAGGGCCATAGCCCATTCTAGGTGTGCTCCATAATGGATCGTGGTTATTGGAGTTGCAGAAAAAATACGGAGGACTTGACCTGGGTGTCCTCAGTGGTAGGAACGGGCATGTAACAGAGAACTCACTGTTCAACATATGTAACCAATGTCTTATATTTGAAAAACATTTTATCCTACTTAATACAGGGTCTTGATATAAACATGTGTTCATCTTCCAGTCATTCACCCATTACAGTCTATCCCAATCAGCACAAGACAGGGGAACTCCCTGGATAGGATGCCAGTCCTTCACAGGGCACACATAGGCATACAATCACACATATGGGCAATTTAGAGATGTGCAAATCGCCAACCTGAAGGTTTTTGGATAACTGGAGTATCCAGAAAGCCCATAACTTTGGTATAACACACAACACTACTCTCAGTTTCAGTAATGGTGATGGAACAAAAGTGCAATGTCACTCTCCACTCCCACTTAGCCTCTCTTTTTTCAGCGCTGTTCTTTTTGGTCGGGCTCTCTGCGTATCTGGGTCATTGCAGCATTCCAGATTGACAGGCTCTCTCCCTCAGGAGGGACAGTGTGCCTATACGCCGGCCGGCCGGGCAGCCACCTGCCGCGGCTACCGGGAGATCAAGGAAGGAAGCGAGCTGGCACTGCAGGCTGCCGTGGCCAAGGTGGGGCCCGTGTCTATCGGCATAGATGCCACCCAATACAGCTTCTTGTTCTACAGGAGAGGTAAGACACCGCTGTTCTCTCCGCAGGGGCGGTGAAACTTGGTCTAGTCCATTTCTTTAAAATAACAAATACTCTGATTAAACTGCTCAGTAATCTTATCAAACTGTGCTTCCAGGTTGTATTTATTATAATACATTTAGGACATTCAACCAGGGCCATGTCAGGGGGTTTGGGGCTGGGGGGGGGTGCCCCCTCAGTAAGTGACTCAGTGGAGGGGGACCCCCTCTGCCCCACAAGCAGTCTCTACACAGCCCTGCATTTATGTATTTATGTATATCCATTTATGTATTTATTGTATGCATATAGTATTTATTGTGTAACTGATTAATAAGATTCTCCCTGCCCGCTGCTTAGGGGTGTACTACGACCGCAACTGCAACAAGGACGACATCAACCACGCGGTGCTGCTTGTGGGTTATGGAGTCACCAAGAGGGGCAAAAAGTACTGGATTGTGAAGAACAGGTGAGCCTGCATCTAGATGTCATTTCCTTCTCAGGCTAAACGCAGATTAAACAATTAATAACAGTTAATTTTGTTGTTGTACTGTAAGAATCAACGTAGTGCTGAAATAACTTGATTAGAGGATTCAAGGTGCAAAATTCATTACTTTCAACATAACAGCACCCAGAATCTCTAATCAGTAGGGGTGTAAATCGTTAGTCCCAAGGCGATTTGATTTAATTAAGATTATTGAGGAGATGACTCCATGCATTGGATTCAAAACAATTAATAGATTGATTATGGACATCTAGTTATAATTCATGCATGCATTTACCTGCTTCCTATTCAAATGTCATAGGCATCAACAAACTCCAGAATTCACATCTTAACCATCTGTAACTTTGAAGTTACTTTCCAGGTTTTAATAGTTTTTTATTTACTGGTGAGCTGTAACTGCCCTGATTCTGACCNGGTTCTTGTGCATATCAATGGCATATCAACACTTTCGGGTGGGTTCTTGTTTCTGTGGTTTTGTTACAATACTGCAGTACTTTGTTACAATATGTGAGCTTATTATTACCCTAATGTATTGAGTGTGTAGTTTTAACATTGCTGCAGCTAAGTAAAACTAAAATTAACAAATGTTGCCTGACAAGAGATATTTTCTAGCAGACCTGTGTGCATTAATACACATGTGCAGTAAGACATTTTAATTGTGGAACAGTAAAAATAATTTGTCTGAAACTACTTTTGTATATTGGTTTCAAATGCAATGTTACTAACACTAAATAAATTAAAAATAAACACATTACACTGATTTCCTGGTCATTAATTTCAGTCTTTTCCTGATGTTTTTTTTTCAAGGCAACCTACATTAGAGAGAGGAGTTATACGTACACTACCGGTCAAAAGTTTTAGAACACCGCAATTTTTTCAGTTATTTATTGCAATTCAAGTCGTTCAAGTCCAATGAATAGCTTGAAATGGTACAAAGGGAAGTGGTAACTACCAGAGGTTAAAAAAGCATCAGTTGAACAGTATTGTACAGAAAG